AGATCCGCGCGGCTCGACAGCGCCGGGCTGCCCCCGTCCGTGGCGATCACCGTCACCCGGTGCTCGGACGCCCGCTCCCGGTCCAGCGCGCCCACCGTCACCACTTTGTAGGAGCCACCCGACGATGCCACGATCTGCAGTGGTGCCTCTCCCGACAGCTCGCACCGCACCCGCCCGTTCTCGCCGGAGTCCCGGTCCCGCACTTTCAGCAGCGCCACGACGGTGCCTGGCGGCGCGTCCTCAGGCACCGGGCTCGACATCGACAGCGTCGTTATTTCGGGCTCGTTGTCGTTCTCGTCGATTATGTCGATCTGCACCTCGCAGTGTCCCGTCAGCCCGCCGCCGTCCCGCCCCTCCAAACCGAAGCTGTACTTACTCCTCTCCTCGAAGTCCAGCGGCCCGGCAGTTCTCACCTCGCCGCTCTCGGCATCGATGCTGAACAAGGTGCGGACGCTCTCCAGGACGTTGCCGAAGAAGTAGGAGACCCGCCCATTGGAGCCCGCGTCCGCATCTGTAGCTCGCACCTGCAGCACCAATGATCCCACCGGCAGATTCTCCCGCACTTGCGCCTCATACGCGCTTTTGTTGAACACGGGCGCGTTGTCGTTGGCGTCACTCACGTTCACGCGGATCTGCACACTTCCGGACCTCGCGGGGTCGCCTCCATCAGTCGCTGTTAGAACCAACTGAAAGGAGCTCTGTTTCTCGCGGTCCAGAGCTCGCTCCAGCACTAATTCCGGCTGCTTCTTTCCTCCTTTGCTCACCTTCATCGCCAGAGAGAAGGACGAGTCTTCAGAGAGCTGGTAAGTAAGCAGAGAATTGCTTCCCACGTCCGGGTCTCGGGCCACCTCCAGCGGAAAGCGAGCTCCGGGGAGGGTCCACTCCCCGATCTCGAGATCCAGAACTGCCTTGCTAAACGCCGGGGAATTGTCGTTGATGTCGTGGATGGCCACTTCGACATGGAAGACGTTGAGAGGGTTCTGCACCACCGCCTCGAAGCTGACGGCACAGGACGCCGACTCGCCGCACAGCTCCTCCCGGTCCAGCCTCTCGCTCACGTACAGGTTCCCGTTCTCCCCGTTCACGGCGAAGTAGCGCTTTTCCGAGCTGAGCCGCAGCTGACACGCCGGCAGCTCGGCCGGGCTCAGCCCCAGGTCCCGCGCCAGCGGCCCCACCAGCGAGCCCCTGCTCAGCTCCTCGGGAATAGCGTAGCGGAGCCGCTCCGGCGCCGCCCGACAGCAGCAGCAGCACAGCAGCAAAGCGGGCAGCAGCCCCTCTCCAGCTCTCCAGCGGCTCCTTCGCCGCCCCCCCGCCATTGGAAGCAGCGCTCGCCGCTCTCCTTCCTCCTCGCGCAGTGCTTCCAGCTGAGTTCCGTCCGTCCCGAGCTCCGATGCGGCTCGAACGCAGCGATGCGGGCTCCGGCTCGGCCGCCGCCGCTCCCCGCTTCTCTGCTGCCCGCTGTGAGCGGCGCCGTGCGAGCGAGCTTCAGGCGGGGACGGGAAACGGCGGCAGCCGCGGCCAACAGCGGCACCCGGAGGCCCCGCGGTGCCACCGCAGCCGGCAGCTGCCTGAGTTCCAGAAGCAGCGGCGCAAAGAGGCGTTTCGGTGCTTATCGCTCCGCTCAGATTCAGTGTCGCCAGGAAGATGCGGGAGGTCTCCGCAAGAGAGAAGGTGGAGGAGGGCTTAGCAGAGCAAAGCTTTTCTCGCTCGGCCGTGTGGGATTTCTGACATAAAGTAAGGAAAGCTCCGGCTGGTTCCCGAGGAACACTTGAACATGTTGGCAGGACGCAGCGCTTTTCCCACGATTTTCTCGTGTTTATTTCCCATAGCACATGGAAATGTAAGGTTTTAACCTTTAGCTGTATGTTACTGCAGCATCTCGGTACGTTCCGTGTCACTGCTTGAAAACTCATGCATGGATTATGCCAACAGAGAACATCACTAACAGATGTTTAGTGAAACGGGCACCTCCTAAAGGAAACATTGCCCAGCCAGATGCACTGTCGATTCACTCCTCAGCAGTTTCAATGTTATCTTTTCTCTTCAGTGCTGCCTGTGCATTTCTGAGTTGGCCAAATGATAACCGCTGATCTTTTATTCCGCATTAAAGACAAGCAAGATTTTTTTCCTTTTTTTCCAGTGTCACTTTAAGAAATAACGTTTACAAAAACGTCTGCTTTTGTAACTGTAAATATTGAGGGTAGGTGTAGGATCTTCAGCCCCAGAGAAACAACTGGAATAGATACGACCTTAGGAAAATCATCAGACCCACTGAGGTCCAGGTCATGGCAACAAGCAAGTCTGGGAAATTAAATATATAGCCAAAAAGGAGTATGGTAGAATAACATTATTTAGGAGAAACTTACTTATTAAGAAGGAAATCGAGGTGCATGGTACCACCACGTTACTAACAGATTAACTAAGAAAAATCAGAAAACACCATCTGCTTTTCTATGCTCACACAGTCCCTATGACTCCACCAACCTGTAGGATTGAGCTGGACATTCCTGGTTAGAACAAAACGTGTCATAAATGGATGATGCACCACGATCACATCAGAATCAAGGGCATCTATCATTCTGCCCAACACCTTCCTGTGGAGGAACACAAAGATCCGAAAGTATGGGTGTTACATAAGACCAAAGCAAAAGCAGAGTGCTCTTATAGCAAAAACTGAATGTCTGCAATGGGAGAATCTCATTTCCCCTTTAAGCACGTGCTGTGCCCCACACAGATATGACTTCTGCCACTCCCACAGTAACCTTACACCTCCTGCCTTCCATGACAGCCATTGTGCTGGCCAAAAAAAGAGCCTGGAAACGTCATTTCCCATGAAGAACAACCTCTATGCTGTAAGCTTACAGGGAGATATGGAGGAAGAAATGAGATTTCACTCAGGAATTAAGCCGTTCCACCCATGTATTGTCAATGCACACACACAGTTTTGTGCAGTGATTTTATTATCAAATGACACTCTGTGTTTCAGCACAGAGAAGCCAGGATCGTAGCACAGCAAAACGGCACTGTCCCTAGAGTTAAGGCACCTCTCACAACTTCAGTTCCTTTCTTCCATGCTCATGATTTGCAACAACATCTCAGCAAAGGAACAGCTGAATTGATCATCTGCCAGTACCGTGCACCAAAACCACACCGTCCTCATGTCAGAACAGAGGTACACTGCCCTGCAGTTTATGAGAGTATAGTAATGCTGCAAGGAGAATGAGATAAAGGAGACATCCTTTCAAGGATCCCCCACTCCTTTAAGCTCCCGTACTGCTCCACACACGCTCCTTTTCTGCTAAGGTAAAGTTTGCAACTGATACTCTGAAACGAAAGTGGAATACAGCACAAAATAACCTTCACAGTTCTGCATTTCCACACCAGCTGTAACTCTGTGGGAATACACAGAGTGGCTGAGGTGAGCAAGACATGTGAATACAACACGATGTCCAACAAAGCTATGCTGCTACTTAGAGCTCAACATACACCTGTATAGTGAAAGACCAGGAAGAAATACCATCAGACAATCTGCACAAGCAAACGTTAAGGGGAAAACGTGGCAGAAAAATGACCATGAAGGTGTTGTGGTCTTCTCTGATAGTTCCAAACTTCATTCCCAGAGCACCTGGAACTCACTGAGGTTGTAACCTGAAAGCAAGACCCTAAAGCTTTCTTCTGGACTATGTATTAAGAGATATCATTTTAAGAACATTTTGGCAGCTATTTTTTTTTTTTTAATGACCTTTACTGTTCATCTCCGATGAATATGAAACTGTAAATGTAAATACCTTAACATGGGACACTTTCTCATGTTAAGTCTTCTGATAAACCATGAGAGATTCTGTTCCAGCTTCTGTTTCATTTTTATCACACATTGAATTCTGAGCTCAGGTGATAGAAATGTTGTCAAGAGACACAAAGGTTCACTGCAATGCAACCCTGGTGTTTTCAAATGTCAAAGTCCTGTCCAGGAATGGAAAACATGGAGCACAACAGCCCTCGGAACAACAGCCTGAGAATAGAATCAGAGCTATGAAGAGAAATCTAATGTTACAACTAAATAAGAGCATATTTATGAGAATTATAAGATGCATCAACACTATGTAGCTATTACAGAACAATTTCATAGTCAGAAAATTATGGCTATCATTCAAGCCAGTGAAATGACATGGATGAAATGGTGCATAGGTACTGCAAGCTTTGGCACTAACTATAAAATCAAAGTTGCCCAAACAATATCATTGCTGGCACATCATTTTCCACCTGGAAAACGAGACACTCACCATTCTTGGTCTGTGTGCACAGCCTTCAGTTGCTCCATGGGCAATATGCGACTTTAAGCAATTTGTCACCTACCAGCAAGAGTACAGTGATATTTTAAGGAAACATTGGTTAATCAAAGGCTTTTTCCTCCTAGTAGTAAACATTGAAACTGTGCATGGAAACAGCTCCACCAGTTCCACAGTTATTAGCAGATTGACAGACGTTCCAAATTTAAAGGTTTCCCACACTGAGGCCTAGTTTATGCTTTGACAACAAATAAGGCAAAAACCTGAAATTGACAGAAGTGAGGGACACCACTGTCACCCTTCAGATCTCATTCTTCAATCTCACCAAATGCTATGCAAGATGAAATTCAAGTGATGCACACATTGCAGCTCTTGCCACAGCATATACCTTGGAGCAAAGCCTGTACCATTTTTGAGAGACCAAAGTTCAACAACTCCTCTTTCCTCCACCAGTTTTTCACACACAAAATACCAAGGAACCACACCACAGAATACCAATACTGCTGTTAAGGTTGTCTTCAGTATCTCTTGACACCAAATGGCACCAAAGCACCAGCTGCCCAGCCCATTTCCCCTCCATGTGCACAAAGACCATTCTGTGAGTGGAAACACAGACATTCCTTCTCTCAATAAATCAACACGTAGAAAGACACTAAAGAGCTAAAATAAATAATATATATATATTCGATACCTATATGGAATCGTTAATGTTCTGTTTCAGGGCAATGTCACTCTACACATCAAGCATATGCTATCATGAAGATATCTGAACTTGTTAACAACACAAAGCATAAGATGGCAGTCAAAATGGGATCACAACAGGAAGCACACAGAAATAAAAGAACTGTAAGTTAAACCCAATCTTATGGGCCTCCTTCTGAAAATAGAGGTTCTGACAACCCCTAAAATATTTCTAGAACCTCATTTCCAACCCATTCACGGGCACACATATTTATAGAGGAACCCACATCCCCAGCAAACAATCTTATCATAAACTCGACTGGAAGAAAGGGGAGGAAGGTGTTCTGAAAATGAACAAAAATCCCAGGGAATGAAGTTGATCTAAAGGGCTCATTACACATTAGGGGATTCAAATTCACCACAGTCATACATTTATTATTATTTTAAACACAGCAGAGCCTTAATGGCCACAACATATCCACCTACACGTGCGATTTCAGGAGGGCCAGGAGGTACCTAAGAGCGCTATCTGATGTTAGGAAGGAGCACCACAGGATGCGTGCACACTCTCAATCAAAAACCACCAGCTCCACTCAACGCAGACAAAAGACCGAGGGCCCGTGACCGTCAGCGTGAGATGAGAAAGACTCAGAAATACGGGTTTCATGGGCTTACTGACCTGCGGCGCGCAGAGGTCGTCGGGCGGCTCTCCAGGGCCGGCGCTGTCGCTCGGGCTCCGCTTCCCGCAGGTTTCCCCGCCGAGCGGCTCCTCGGCGGCCGCGCTGGGCTGCAAGGC